CCCCCCAATCTCCTGCCGGGAGACGGGGCAGGCCCGGCCCCATCCCCGCCCGGCCGCATGGCCTGGGCAGGGAACGGGAGGCCTGGAGCTCTGCCACCCGTCACAGCCAGGAAACAAAGAGAACCCAGAGAGCTCTGCTTTTACATTTTAAGGTAGGGTTCACAAGTTGATCCCACTTTTCAATGGCCTAAACTGCTGTCAATTCCCAGCAATGACCGATAATTGGTCAGGAGAAAAGACTCCAAGCACTTCCCAGCAACTCCAACTCCCTTAAAGGTAAAGTAACTCCATGACACCTGTCTTCTTGTATTTGAATAATTGTAGCTCAGCTTAAGTAAATGACTGAGCTTTGTGATCGTCCGTCAATTGACAGGTTCCCTGAATTCTATTAAAATGAAGCTTGATGAGCTTAGGGCATTGTATGATGCAGCAGTTGCAGTGTGACTGAATTTAGTAGCTCAAAATGCTCCCTCCTCGTATCTATGCTCTTGTCAAAAACAAGCAGCTTTGCAATCATATTGCTTTTACACGGATTCCCCTTTCAGAGGTTCTGAAAACAATTGATGAGGGAGATGCTGATGATGTAACAAAGCAGCGAATCCATGAAGGAAGAGAGAAACCTGGAGCATTGTGGCACATCTACGCTGCCAAGGATGCTGAAAAGATACGGGAACTTCTCCGAAAGGTATGCTGGTTACACAAAGAGAGCTTGAGTTTACAGGGTTCCTTGACTAGCTTGCTTATAGCAGCTGAATGTTACAAATTGCTATCAACATCAAGTGCATACATATTGCACTTCTATCTTTGAGGGCATTGATAGTTATTATGCTCGCAAGTTTTCAGCCTGGTCTGGAATCTTCATATTAATGCATATTGCTATTTAAGACCTAAATTACCTTAATGGAAACAATGTTCTGCCTTGAAATAGTTTGTTACAGTTTTTGGTACAGATTATTTTATGAGCCAGCTGTGTCATGGTTTCCCTCCACCCCATATCTTGGCCCTAGGTTGGAGAAGAACAAGGCCAAGAAAATCCTCCAGATCATGACCCCATTCACGACCAAAGTTGGTACTTGGACCAGACCTTACGTAAGAGACTCTATGATGAGTATGGTGTGCAAGGCTGGGCAATAGTGCAGTTCCTTGGCGATGCTGTGTTCATTCCTGCAGGTGCTCCCCATCAGGTAACTATACCAACTCTAGGCCATATTGACAAATAGAATTTAATTTGAGGCACAAGAGAGTTGCAGCTTTAAAATAACTGGTAATTAATATTGCACACTTAAGATTTCTTTTTTCTACATATGCAGTTCTTACATTACTAGAAGTTATGAAATTATCTGAATGATGTGTGTGTACATAACTGTGATGAAATTACAGGGGGGAAAAAAAAGCTGGGGTGAATGGAGGGAAAACATTTCCATATAGTGAAACTTCCGCCAAGGAAACCAAATTCAAAAGTTACGAGAACTTGCTTTTGCGAACACTAATGTATATGGGAGAATAGGAAGCCTGTTAGATATCATGTATTTTGTTCTGGTTTTCCTATTAGATGCAATTCTGTCAATTTCTGTTTCTGATGAGTAAATGTGGCAGAGCCTAAAACATGGAGGGGTACTGGGGGTTTTAGGGGTTTTGGTTTTTGGTGGATTTTCTTGTTGTTTCCTTTGGGTTTTGAGGGTTTGTTTGTTTTACTTTGTATGGTTCCTTGTCTTGATATATCGGTCATTTGATATGGGTTTTTAGGTCCATAATTTGTACAGCTGCATTAAAGTGGCAGAAGATTTTGTATCTCCTGAACATGTGAAGCACTGCTTCCGTCTGACACAGGAGTTCAGGCATCTGTCTAATACTCATACAAACCATGAGGATAAACTGCAGGTAACCATTTTATGTCAATAAATACAAAACACATCCTGTGTTTTTACCAGCTTAGTTCAGTACTAGAAATGTATGTCTAAGGAAAGAGTAACAACTTCGCACAAATCTGGAGGTTCTCATTTAATAGGTATATTACTTAATTTTTAAGTATTTCTGTCTACAGTATTATGTAAACAGAAATTAGTAATAGACTTCTGCATTTCCAGAGAACTTTCCTCCACTAGACTAATGCATGCATTGGTATTAATAAATTTTTGAATGGCAGAATCCTAATGACAGCAGAGTAGAGCAAACGAGAAGAAAAAAAACACTCTTAAAAAGGAAAGACCAGTATTTTGTTTTGAAGAGAGATGTTTATTTGACCAAGTACACTTACGTTTGTTTCTTCATTGCCTAAAGGAAAACTCCTCTGAAAGTGAAGGCTGGCTTATTTAAGTCAGGGATATAGTTTAGTGGTAGACTTGGCAGTGCTAGGTTTGTGGTTGGATTCAATGATCTTAAAGGTCTTATCCAACATCTGTTAGTCTTAAAATTAAATGTGTTCTGGTTTGAGGAAGCGTGACTGCTTCAAGTAATTATGCACAGAACATAACAGGTACACAAGTACACTGGATATAAGACAGTAAGTTCTACAGACAGAAGACCATAGGAGATGTTGTTGGATTTTGTCTAACACTTCTGAAGCAGTAGTATCAGTTTGCAAATTTTGTTGTCAGCATTTTTTGTGTAACAGTAAACATATGTATGTAAAAGGAAGGAGGGTGGAAATCTGCAGAATGTCTGTCCTCATCAAAGTAAGTACAGAGTATATAGTTACTCTCCAGGATGTCACCCAAGGATGTCAGAATCTACCATGTTAATTCTCTCACACCATTTCAGTGGAAGTTTGCTATAAATTTCTATGTGGATTTCCATGGGATTATAGAGGAAAGCAGAAGTAGGATCAGCTCTCATTCTGGCATCTAACACTGTACCTCTTCAGCTGTAATGACACAAATCCAGAAGTGTTTCTGTAAATTAAGAGGCTGTAAATGAAAAATGCTAATTATTAAAAAAAAAAGAACCAAGAAACAAAAACCCACAAAGTGCAACTCAGTATTCCCTTAAAAAAGAATACTGGTTGTATTTGTCTGAGATTTTTTTAATTATTATTATTTGTTATTTTTAATGTATATTTTTATATAAACCTCTGTCTATATTTTTGTATATTAAAATACACAGAGACAATAACAGCCACATAAATGATACCAAAAAAATGAGGTCACATGCACATCAGGAAAAAATCATGGTGCTTGGCAGTTAAGCAAGTGCAATTGAGCCGCTCACTTAGGAGGTGAAACTATTCCATTCAACGCCTGGAAACAGAATTAAAATAAACTTAGATCAGAAAAAATCAGAAACGAGACAGAAAGTTGATTCTCAGATAAGCAACTGTGAAAAAGATAGCAGTGAGTACTAGTGGATTTCATACCTTGTGCTTGTCTCTCTGCAAGATTCACAAATTTGAAGAATTTCTAGCCTCCATGCAAAGACAACAGGATGATTCATTGCACCATCTTAATTTTTACAGGATTAAACCATATGATTTTGTTACATCTTTTGGATTCGATTCATGTGAATCTCTAAGTGACTTGGATTACAAGGAGTTTTTCAAAATAAACTCATATATATAACTTCATAGTGCACTTCTTCCTAGCTCTCACAAGAGAAGGAATTACCTTAAAATAACACAAGTAAATATATGTCGCTGGGTGACCAGAAAACGAGTCAATAAATCAGTGCAGTGTCTAAAATACTTGTCATCTGTGACAGTTAAATTTTGTGCTATTGGTATCCTGAAGCAAAAAGAGTATATATTTTGTGTATACTTGCCAACTATTACAAATTCAGCTGTCAAAGTTGATTGCATAGCTATGTAAGGCTCTCCTTGTTAGTCTGTAGAAGTTGATTTTTTTTTTTTTTCCTGTTGCAGGTGAAGAACATTATCTACCATGCAGTGAAAGATGCTGTTGGCACACTGAAAGCTCATGAATCCAAACTAGCTAGATCGTAGGAATTGCTAATTCCAAATGCCCTGTCAAGTAGGCCTTTTGCTCACGGTATATACAGGGACTGCACACAACTGCTTCTGCAGGAGCAGAGGCTTCTCACTGGGAGCTGGTGTGGTCAGTATTACACACACTCTTCAGCCACTGTTTTCTACGCTGCCTCAACACTGAAGGTCTAATGAAAGGTCACAGAATTCCAGATTCTAAAAGGTGCCATATCCCTTTCCTGTGGCCTTTTGCAAATTGAAAAAACATGGAAACCACTTGGTGTTCCTGCATATTATGATTAGAAATGTTACAAAGAGTGTGGATGTTTTTTTCCCTCATGCCTAGTTAATCTCCACAAAGTTAGACAGAACGTGCTGGAGGTGGGTTGTCCTACTGCAGACTTGGTTGATAACTGCTGAAAAAATGTGACCAACAGTAGCCCAACTGCAGAAATTCAGACAAACTTCCCGTGTGAGATACAGGCCAAGGAAAAGGATAAAACTATTCTCTGCACTCCCCTTCTTCTAGCCGTTTCTCTATACACTGTAGAGTTGCAGAACTAAAGGGAGAACCCACTTTTTTTTTCCCCTGGGAGACTCCAGAAATAAGAGAATTGTGTATTTAGTGAAAAAATAGGTTTGTAGTGAAACAGTTAATATTTCATGAAAGTAGATATTTTTAGTATTTTTGAAGTACCACAATTGTTCCTGGATTTTCAAGGAAAGGTGTATTACATTTAGTCTTCCTTTCAATAAAATCAAGAAGTGATTTTTAGAAAGCAGTCTAAAATAGCACAAAAACAGCCAAAGGAAAATTGAATAGAAATTGATATCCCACCTCCCTTGCCCATATTACCTCACCTATCTTCCCCGCTCTCTCTATGCCACTCTGCTTCCTCAGTATGAGAAGTAAAAAGGAGTATAAACTCTGTTCTCACGTGGAGATGTTGTACATCTCTCCCTGCACTGGTGACTGCAGGCAATATTCACCCAATACCAGTGCTACCTGAAAACATCTATAAAACATCTATCCTTTCCAAAGTGAAGGAAAAGTTAACTTTTGGTGTCAACTTTGTCCAGAACTATTTTAAGTAAAATGTTCCTGCTTGATAGAACTGTATTCAGAATTACTAATGTCAGCATTGATGCAATGGATTTCATTGTCTGGGTACATGGGGAAATGTATTGACCTTATCTCCAGCTGTACTGTAGTGCCACTTGCAGGCCTGTTAATATGTTCACGGTTATTTCATTTTTTAAAAAATAAAAGTCATTTACTGTAGCAGCCTGGGCAGTTTCTTTCATACCTGTACACTGATCTTCCTGCCTTGAGGTTGTCTCAGCCTCTGTACCTGGTAGTGTAGGCTGCCAGCTAATTTTGACCGGCTGTGTTTAACCAGAAGGCTTATGTGGTTTAGCTTAGCATGTCAAGTATGTGCTGGGAGCACACCAAGCTGCCGGCCAGTTCTTGGTTCTTCGAGGTAGTTTGGGTAGAGGAATTGTCTTGTCATAAAAAACATCTCTTGTACTGTGCTCCCCATCTCTATCTTCCTAACAGGTTGGGGTCCAGAGATGCCCTCTCCACTGGAGATATGGACGGAGTGGTAAAAGTTCTGTGGTTTCTGACTTTGGAGGTTGTGATGGCAGCAGCAGTTCTGTTCACCGACATACAGCATTCTAGCAGCCTCTCAGTGTGGTTATTGGGTGCAGAGTCCAGTCACAGGCTTTTGCTGCCTGTTCCCTTACAGCTATCCTGTGATGAATACGGGCTAATTCAGTCTGCTAGAGATAAAAAGGGTTATTCCAGACCAACGGATCATTTAGTTTCACTGTATTCTGTTGCGTACAATTTCTTGTGCACTTCTCTTGCACTATCTGTGCATACAGATTAATTATAGCTGAGATGTTTCCCTCATTTGTGTGTGTATGTGTGTTTTTAAGCATTAGAATTGGATAAAGATCAAAAAGGCAGAGACTTGGCTGTATTTAATACGGTAGCATGAATAATTTTGAATGCAATAATCTACAGTGAGAGTTTTGCAACTCATTCTAAACCTTTGTTTAGTTTGAGTCTATCAAGTACTGCTTCTGTCTCTTTGAATTTCCTTTTTTATTAATCATGGAGTACAATCAGCCTGAAGTAATATTCAGCCAAAATCAGAGGGATTATTAAGAAGTACCATAGAGTCATAAAATGGTCTATGTTGGAAAGATCTTAAAGATCATCAAATTGTTTTGACATACATCATATAGAGGTCATACCACAAGTAGCCAACCAAAGTGATTAGAAAATTGGCTTAAGATATATAATCAATAGTTTTTATCACAGTATTTTCTAGTTCAAGATTTTAAGGGGCAGCTGGTATGTCATGTAGAATGTAAGCAGATTAAAGCAGATATCATAAATCAGAGGGGTTTTAGCAGAGGGAGAATAAAAACTTGAGTTACATGTCGTAATATAGTTTGCTACGGTCATCACGCTTGTTCTACCTAATGCTCTCTTGCCATTACTAAATGGAGTTGCATAAGACAGTGGGCAGCACTATTTTTGAATATCAGCTTTAAACCCTGGCTGTCTTTGAGCCAACATCCTATGTAACTACAGACAAGATGAAGTAAGAATTCAGGAATGTATGGCTGTTGGCCTGCCTGAGTGAATTTAGATTGCATTCACAATACTGAAGGTTGGTGTTTGTTCAGCCATGCAAGGGTGTAATGTCCCCAGTCTGAAGATTTCACTTCTTTTCAACCAAAAAACTTCATTTTCTTGGTACAGAATCAAAACGTAACGGCGTGCAAGTTTTAATTTTACAAACCCTAAATCTTTACTCTGAGGCAACTGTAATAAGGCAACATAAATATAGGAAAAAAAAATAAGTACCTAATACATCAAAAGTTGCATTCCATGTGTCGTTTCTCTGAAAGATTCTTAAATGGCCTTTTGTAAAACCTGAGGATGTGGAATCAGAATTGGAGCAGTGAAGTTAGGTGCTAAGCAGTAACTTGAATTTACCTACAATCTAAATAATATGAAAGGAGTTACAAGGCATGGATATTATTTAAAACTATTGTTCTCCTGCATGTATAATTTCCTTCTTCACTCCTGATAGCCCTTTGATAGCTCTGAGCTACAGTTAAGAGGTATTGGTTGGGGTGTATGACACACTAGTGATTTATTCATGCATCAAGCACACCTAGTAAGCATTAATTCAGTGGAAAATGATTGTGAAACTACATGTTTCACATGTAGTGATGTGAGTGAAGCATAGCATAGAACAACCTGATTGACAGTGCATCTTCCCAGTTTTGGTTACTGTAAAGAATCTTACCTTCTGATTGTCAACTTCAGTGTTTCCCCAAATTTATCCAGATAGCTGGTATGCATGCTAATGCCTGCTTGTGGTCACTCTCTTCCAGTGCGTCTCAGAATGTGAAATCAGCTTCTTTCCTCTCAGTTGGCAGTGTCTTCAAGATTCCTATTCTCAGCCTTTGAAAAAGACCTGCACATTCCCAACAGGCATTTGGAAAATAACCAGGCAGAAATCATCTTTTCTCTCTTATCTCCCTCATTTCCCTGCCTTGCAGGAGCTTTTTATTTATCTCTGTCTTTATATTGTCTAACAGGAAAATGGTTATAAAAGTTTCAAGAGCTGGATACAACAAATTACAGCTGTTTCCTCTAGGAAACTGTCTTCTAAGAGAAAAGCTTTAAATCACAAAGCAAAACCAGTAAAGAAATGTTCTCAGAACAATTTCCAGTTCTAGGGGCCATAGCTCTTGCAATGTCATTTTTGGTGGTCAGCTTGCTCTTTTTCTGTTTTCCTTACTTCTTTCAGCTTTTGATACTCTTCCACTACAATCTGCACCTTTGTGCTTCAGAGAGGGTTCCCATTGTGCTCTTCCACATCACCTTTACTCCTAAGACTCATATTTAGTCTGCTAAACTTTTCCAGAGGGAATCTTATATTCTTGAGCCCTGATGAATTGATGTTCCTCTTCATCATAGCAGCTTCTGCCTGAACCTCAGCTTCAGCAGGACTTCTGGATCTGACCTGGCATTTTTCTTAATGTAGCTTTGCTTAAGCTGCTCTACTTGAGGAACAGCTTGTTTGATTTCCATGCTTTATTGCTTAGCCATAGCAGATTGATAGATATTTGGGGGCCTATTTGGAGCATTTGTAGAACACAAGTTTATCATGAGCTGTTTCAGCAGTAGCATATCTGCAAAAAAACCCCATACAATCTTTATTTGAAAACAATTGATGAATTGCTTTCCTGGGTAGGTCGTAAGATCTTAATTACAGAGAATTGTACAATATTACTGATAACTTAATGAAAAGAATACTACTAATATATATTTTTATTTTGACTTAACTTTTAGCTGACTTTTGTTCCAAAAATATCCCTTTAACTACCAGTAGTTTCTCCTTGTGGAAAGGTAAGTTAATTAATTAATCTTTATTTTTATTTATTGTATGGGAAAAAAAAAATTGAACATCTTATTGCTAAATATAAATTGCTAGTTTAAAATACCTTTTCTGAAGTTGTTCTAGAGCTCAACATGCTACTTAACAGTGAGCTGCCGTTTACATTTACAACACCACCTTCTCTACTGATGTTGATTCTGATGAGATTCTGTTGTTCTTACCACTATTTGTGTCTAATGCACTGTAGATTTTCATATTGCCCCGTGGTACATGAAGTAGCTTAAAACACTAAGGCACATTTTATTTAGGTGTCACTTAGCCGTGCTGCAGTTATTTAGTGTTCTCACACTGTCATATGTGTTTCTCACCAGATCTCTGCATTTTCCCTCTTCTGTTTGAATCTTCCACTCATATGGGCACAAAGAAATTACTCAAGTAACAGGCCTGTTGGTTGTGCTGGTCACCGATAGGAAACTGATGCAGTTAGAGATGTAGTTATTTTGTTGAAGGTTTTGCGTGTTGGTGTTATTTGGAGATGTGAAAGCAGATTCCTTTTATCCTATTAGTAAGTCATTTTTGCCATCAGTGGTGTAAATTGTGCAGTCCCTTATGCAGTCATTTTGTGGACATTCAGATCCAAAAGCAGACTGACAAAATGTTCTTTGTCACTGTCTGTAGAGACATTTGTGTTTTCATCTCTTGCATGTAATGGGAAGTTGTCAATGTTTTGTATTTGTCATCACTGCTCATTATACTGAATTTCATGCATTCATGAGAAAATTCTTCCTGAACAGCTCTTTGTTTTTGTTCTGACTCTTTCCTTGGTCGCATTCCTTTTCATAAAGGCTCTTTAGCAACTATCGGCAACTAATGAGACTTTGCCACAATGTCTTACTTCGGGGTTTTTGTTTGTTTGGGGTTTTTTTTGTGGATGTGAGTTGTTTTGGTGGTGATTTTTTTTTGGGGGGGGGCGGGTTTGGTTTTATTGTGTGTTTTGGTTTGGGTTTTTTTTGGTTGTTTTTTTTGTTTTTCAATTAGCTGAAGAACCATAGTCGATTTCTAGCGATTTTTTAAATTATTATTAAAAAAGTATATTTTTTGTAAATATATTTATTATATAATGGATATCTCAGTGTGATTCAGAGATCTATGTAAGGGGCCTAATCAATCCTTGACTAATATATATACAGGTCCCAGGGACACAGTAATAAACTGGCATTGACTGAGGAGGAAGATTCTTTTAACAGTATTCCTTGGTGAGCTGTTAAAATACAACAGTTTCCAGTACTCCAGTATGTTTAAGCATACACATTTCCCACCCTGCACTAAGGATATTCCCACATACATGTTCACCTTTGTGCAGTTAACAAAGTAATTTTTGACCTCTCAGCTTTCGAGGAAGAGTATCTTACCTGGAAACTACAAGTAATACTTTATTCTTCTGGTTTGATAACGGAAACGTCAGTATCGGCTAGTTGAGTTTCGTTTTGCATCCTGTTTTGGGTGAAATTCGGAGCTGTGGATATCTGAAACGCTTTTACACCTAGCTACCTTGTTTACAGCATGTAATAGCTGTTGTCTTGATTTCCCTGGAGGAGGCGGCTGGAGGGAAGATGGCTTCTTGTGGCCTCTCTTACTCTATCTCTTCCCAAGTGCCCGTGATCTCAACTCGGCACTCTCCTGTAATTTTCCTCACTTTGCTCGCTTCTCTGCCATCGTTCCAGCAACGCCACTTGCCTACCTCTACTTGCTGCTGCCGTTCCGCTGGCGGGGCTCCGTTCCCGGGCTCCCGCCGCACCTCCTGACCTGGTGCGAACGAGCGCGGGGCTTTCCCCTAGCAGGGGGCGGGCAGCGC